TTAAAACTAATTTAGTTATCAGTTTCACTATCGTTTGGACAAAGTTCGAAAACAATTATTTGTATTTTCAACCTCTGTGCGTGTGTCCATGCATGCATCTCCACCTGTAGGTTAGACCTACCTAGATCACTTACATTCATACTTCACATGTATGTCTTGCATCTTGGGAAACATATGCATGTCTCTCTGTCACACGCAACGTAATATTACCATAATTGGTATAGTAAAGGTGTGATGGTTCAAATACCAAAATGGCAACAGTAACAGAAAGACTTCCCTGGCGGCGATGATAAAATACGAACACGAAGCCAACAGATGAGGTTTCAACTGGTACTGGTATTATTATACTCTGCAAACATCAAGTACAATAACGCGGTAAAACTCCACTACTCCAATGTCTAGATACTTAAACTCCAACACAATTCAACGAGATCTCCGATCTGAACTCAGTGCTGAACAACTCCCCTATATATATATATATATACCCCCACTGTCTATTAATAGACCATTACATCAGCATACATAATGAGTCTGGAACTTACTACATTGCCTCCTACAGTGTTCTATTACCTATTCAACCAGTTTCTAAAAAAAAATCTAGAATATTCCACCCAGACACAGTACGGTTCTAGAACATTCTCAGTGACACGGAAGTGGTAAATAAGTTGTATGCGACACTCTCCGATTTAAGATGGCTAGTTTACAGCCACTCTCATGCTGTAAAATTAAAATCAACCATTTCTGCCTTTTTTGAACTGGATCTTTGTTGTGTATGAACAAATTTTGTTCAACCCTGGTACATACATTGGACATTATAAGACCTTGATGCATGTCATCTGTCAGATAAGATCAGATCAGATTCTGATGTCTGACTGGCAGCCACTTTTTAGCTTCGCTGTCGACTTAGTCGAGCGTAGCTTTTTAGTTATTCGACTTCTTTTCGACCTGTCTTAGATTTGTTCATTTCATGATGATATCTTTAATTTCTCTAATTTTTGTGATCATTTTCTACATTTTTGGTAAAAAGTGATATTTTCTCCATTTTTGGTAAAAAGTGATATTTTCAACTGTCTGATTTCTTTGATATTACTGGTAAGTATATAGATACTACATGTGGACCTCTCTCAGATTTGTTCATTTCGTGATGATATCTTCAATTCTATAGTTTTGGTAAATATTTTTGTTATTTTTGGTGAAAAGTGATATTCTTTTTGAAAACAGCAAGTCCGATTGCTTTGATACTATACATATGATACCTCATGTAGACCTTTCTTAGATTTTCTAATGATATCTTCAGTTCCTAATTGAAATGTGCATTGCTAACAGCAGAGCTATCTCACTCGAGAGGCTGCTTGTTTTAAATTAAGAACTCACAGGGGTTATCTCATCCAATTACAGACTTTGAAAATAGAAAAAATAGCTAATCTAGAAATACTTTATAAATGCTTTGTAAATCTCATCATTACAATTACATCAACTTGATATGCTTAATAAACATTGATTTCTTAACAGAGTTGTAATCAACTTATCAAAACAGTTGAAGAGACTGGTACTATTAAGCGAGAAATTAGAGACTTGGAAGATCAGGTAATTACCGCAATGCACTAAATGTTCTGACATCTATCTGCTGTCATCATAGAGTACAAAGAGGAGCTGTTCATATAGGTTATTATCTTGATACTTGATATGTAGGTACATGTACCTTGGGTGAATATCTCACCCCTGCTAACTGTTGGGCTGCTGATGATCTGGTTGGCTGATGCACTCAATTTTAAATTGTAACATCCCCAAAGATACCAAAACATAGCTCTATTGATGACTTCTATACCTTTTTTAGGTCCGCTGTTAACTTAGTTAATTGTCCATTGTCTGTCAGCTGCAACTTTACATTTTCAACTTCTTCTCGAAAACAGCAAATCCACTTGCTTTGATACTTTGTCAGTGTTCAGCACTGGTTGACTTTGTTGCCGGCCGCAAATTGCTACGCTATTTCAAATGTTTACACTTTGGGTGTACTTTAGTTAGATTTGTTCATTTCATAATGATAATTTCAATTTTCTAATTTCGATGAATATATTTGCATTTTTAATAAACAAAATGCTATTTTCAGTTGTCTATCTATACAGCAGAGGTGTGATATTTTTGACTTCTTGTTGAGAACCGCAAGTCTGATTGGATTGCTTTAGGTACTACATGTGGAGCTCTCTCAGATTTGTTCATTTTGTGATATCTTCAATTCTTTAATTAAAATGTGCATTGCTAACAGTGGAGCTATTTCAACCGAGAGGCTGCTTGTTTTTGGAATGGAAACAAAAATAATGCCTGGCAGCCGTTTTGTTTTTAATCATGCTCATCCATCACTGAGATATCATTTACTTCAGTTAAAGGCTTGCACATAAATACTATACTATACTATACTATATATAGGTATTACTGTAGGTAGAGTTTTTTTTTTTTTTGATTTGATTGAATTTCAAGTTGAATGTCTAAAATCCTGAAATCCCAGATGTGTCAAGAATATTTTCTGGCAGATGAACAGGGCTTTGTATCAGGATCATACATACTAGGATTAATGTGCTTGTCACATCTTTTTGTCATTTTTCGTCATGGGATCTATGCTAGTTTCCCTGTCTGTATTTTTCAGTCTATGCATTTCAAGTCATACATTTACTGCATTAAAATTGACATACAGCTGATGCATGGAGTCCTTTGGTAGACATGTATATGTGATATGTACTGAACACTGAGATGGACTATCAGTAAAACAACTCTCAGACTATGCATTGTCAATCCTTAATGTATATATTGTTTCATCTCTTTAAGATCGATAATGAAAGTAATAAGAAGACAATCACTAATCTGGAAAAAATCACAGCGGATTATAAACAAATGAAAAAAGAGAATGAAACACTGATAGCTAAAGTCAAAGAAAGCAAAGCATGAATGAAGATACTGTCACCAAGTATGGTCCAGTAATAGGTTTTAAGCATTTTAGCTGAATTTGGAGTTTGGTATTCAGTGGACCCCTTAGTGTACTCATTCAGAGATTACAAGGTGGTTTTGTCTATAAGATGCATGTACTTTTATTTTTCAAGGAATAAGAAATACATTGAAAATTAGAATTCAACTGTTTATAAATGCTCTTTTTATTACTACACTTATATTAAAATATGTTTGAATATTTAGAGTAGTAACAAATTCTTACTTCTGGTCCAGTTACCATGAGCATTTACTTTTTAGATAGATGTATATGCTATGACGTGAAACAGTTTTTATACTTCACATGTTTATTTGCCTTCAATTACATTTAGTGGTTGTCACTACCGTCCCTAAAATCTTGTCGATAATGTTTTGGTCCCAATTATACATAGCTATTGCCAAGGAAATTCAAAAAACTTTGTTGTTTCAATGGGTAAAAAAATAATTACATTTGTACCATAACAATGTTTTTGACCTTTGTCACCATTTTTAATTATCCTTGACTTTTCCCATGCCAGAGTGAATTAGCTTACATTATGAAGAATTGTTCCCAGAGAGTCTGTAATAAAAATGAATCCATGTCCTCAATAAAAATTCACAACGGTTTGTACATTTTCGTAGTCACTGGTCACCTCATTTCCTAAAACTGGCCAATATCAACTAGGTCGCCGAGGTAAATAGTCGCACAGATTGTTTTGATTCTGCAGGTATTCTATTTTACTGTATACATGTATCAGTCAGACACCAACATAAAACTACTAGTAGTTCGGAACATAGTCAATATGGTACTTTGAATCACAGGTAGACCCTGAAGATAGCGTCATCATACAGTATCCCATTAATGAACGAAATTCACATTACAATCTTGTGCTTACAAATAATCCCATATCTATGCTAGAGAATACAGTACTGGAAAATGTCACATACACAAATATAGTCAAATCGGTAAGGAAAAGATACTATGGACCCTATGGTATACATAAAAATGCAACTACAAATTAAATGTCAGTGAATATTTTTTTTTACAAAATCCTGCAGCCAACGTAGACAAATTGACAATCCCTACCGGTAATATTGTTAAATCGCCAGCTGTGAACTTTAAATCTCATTTATTAGGATTTCTGCATAAAGTTACACAGATAGGGAAAATGCATCATTATAGCAAGGAAAAACATTGATTTCTTTTGTTCAGGTCATATAACAAATTCTCTAATTAATATTTCATTTTTTTTTTTTGGTGTTCCTGTATGTATTAAAATATGTACACATTATATCAAATTGGTGGTAGGAATTGCCAAGCCACTATATAAAATTGTGAACAAATAATTGCGTGAATAACACTGACCATGAAATATGCCCTCAAAAAGTATCACTGATGGATTATTTAATATTGCAATTCCTTTAAATAGTTGTTAGTTGTATAATTAAAATATATATATATTTCTTTATTTCATTACTGAGAATGAGTTATACATTTGTTTCGTACGTTAATTTCTTATCTATATTGGAAAATTGTTCTGTATTAATTTAAATAAATAATGTTCAACTATCCTTCTGCAACACCAATAAGATCATTACTTACAGTATGTCACTAAGCAGTATAAAATTTAAAAAAAGGTGCAAAGCCCATTCTATAAATGGTCACATGTTTCTTGGTCTAAGAAACTGGGAGCATGGGTCTTGAGGAAATCCTGCCAGAACAACTGCACAAATCATAAGGGCAAATTAACAGGTCCTGGGGGTGGTTATTCCCAATTATTTATGGCTGTGTAGACTAGTGTACATAATACCCTGGGCCTTAACAACTGGTCATATGTGGAATTATTGGGTTGGGAGATTATTACCTTGATGTAATAACTCGTGTTATGTTAACAAACCCATGCATCATTACCACAAAGAGTAGCATGTTTCTGCTGCATTTAAATATTGGCAACTTACTTGCTCTTGTATCAGCTGCATGTAAGCACATACTGCTTCCATATGTAAATTGGAAAAGTTACCAATTGATTCGAAAAGGAGGCAATAATTTAAGTAGTGAACGTGATATATGAAAAGAGTTTTAAATAAGAGTAATTTAATAAATACACAAACCTCGTCCACTCGTGTATTTAAAATGTATTCACCAACTGTGGCCAATATCTTGTTGAGATGAAGCGAATGTGAGACACACAACTTGCCTTCCTGACTATGGAATAGTAAATAAAATACTGAACACTGTTTCTATAACTATTAAAATATTCAGACTGAATGCATGTTTTATATTCGATTTCAATTATTGCGATTACGCAGCTAGAAATGAACTTATCAAAATTTACAACTGGACCAGTGATGGTGACGTATGTTATATCACCGTCAAGTTCAACGCCTCAATTGTCAGACTGGGATCTCCGGCCACACACTAGTTTTTTTCAGAGCAATGTTAAATGCTGGTAGAATTATTCATTAAAAAACGTTTAAATGCTGAAACTTTGTTTTCATTTTCTGAAGCCGTATACAGGTAATTTCTCACAATCTCCCATTTGATCAAAATTCTAATCATATAGACACGATTTGACGGGACTTACTATTCCTGCTGGATAACATTGCACCCGTATGCAAGCACTCCCATTTCCCCCGATTCAAAACATGAAAGAAGATATTCAGTGGAGTATTTTATATGGCGCCTATGCCATTGGGGGTTTTGTGAAGTCCGATTTTGCTTTCTGTCATGAGACGTGTTCTATTTATCATACATTGAAGGTGCTACACACGTTAAAAACTCGACAGTGCTGTGTTTCAAGTGTTTGACCACTGTATATATGTACTTAGCATGTTCTAGCTGGAATTCAACGAGTATTCAAGCAAGAAAGTACGGCAGTTATCGAGCAACGCTAACCATTGGTCGTTTAAAAATTAACAATGAATTCCCATGATTGAGGCGCATTGTCTGAAATTTTCAGCATGACGAATTACTGGCGGGATAGCTCATTACACTCAGGTTTTTCTTTATCCATTCTTAATCACTCATCTGAGGCGGATTACGTGCATTTGCCAACTGGTTAGCCAATTAGAAACCAGCTTTGCAGAGTAAGGACATCAATTTACGAAAGCATAGAGTAGCAAAAATTGCCACGCCCATATTTTAGAAACCACGCCCACTTTCGGGAAACCACGCCTAAATTGCAACGCGATGTTAAATTTATAGTTAACCGAACTGGGAAAATGTTTTTTTTTGTTTAACGTTCAAATTTAATAACTTTACTATAGCTAGAATGCTGTAAGTGTCTTCATTTTAAGTTAGTCCTTCTGCCGATTTCTCGCAGCCAACAACGTGATTTTTCATTTGGGATTTCGAAAAAAATATGGCATTCATACGCACAACACCCCACCATGTTTCAACTTTTAAATTGCCAGTTAACAAGGTCTTTCATAGTAGCACTTCGATGGCATTGACGTATGAATGGGTTCAATTATCAGTGTTCACTGATAATTACTTCACAGCCCGTTGTATACTCGCTATTGACGGCATTTCGCAGCACGTGCAAGTTGTTTTTATCGACAGAATTCATTCATAGATCTCAAATTTCATGTACAGTGTGACAAAAGCCAGCCTTTGCTCCCATTTAACAGTTAACCAAACTTAACTGAGTTACAATGTTTTTCTTAACTTGATCTTCGTAGCTCGAACAATTCAGTGACTCGCTTTGAAACATGGTTCATTGCTGTAGCAGTTGGTGGGTGAATGGTGAAATCTATAACAGATCACAGTGGGTTCAAAGGTCAATGTAGTGTTCTTTGTGTTCGGTGGGCATTTATTGCAGCACGAACAGTAATTCAATACGGTTAGCAGTAGAGGTATACTGAATAGGAGCTATGACGTCACACTCAAACGGTTTACACCAGGTGAAAGTGGACAATGAAACCTGGAAGTATCACGGGTAAAACAAACTAAAAGCATGTCCCGTATTAAGAAAACTGTTTATTCGCCTGTTTTATTTAAGCATTGAGAGCAGAATAACCAGTTAAACATATTAATTATGCAGCCAACAGATTAATGCCAGGTAAGTCGACCTCGATGTTGTGTTGTACTCTTTGGCAATGGCAGTCAGTGTGTGAAGTACGGACGCAACAAAGACGATATGTTCGGCACGGTTTATTCAAGTTTCATGTGTATCAGGCGACATATAGTTATTCGAGACGTTCTCCACATCCGGGTGCGTACCACGACTACTCCTGATGCCTGTGTACAGTGACATTGTGCTGGTTCTGTTACATGTACGGAATAGTTGTATAAGCAGACAAGGGTGTACACATGGCTTCTGTCATGAAACAAAGAATAAAGTCACAGCTGTTGTTTATAGGTAGAACAAGTATCAATATATGCTCCAAATAGCGGCGTCGGAATATGTTCTAGCTAAAAAGCGTGTTTGCAAACGACGAATAAAAATACCCTACTAGCATTTACACTGTAGCGAGGGATATTCGGACACCTCTCAATCGTAACATTAAACTATTCGTCGGGTCCTGTATGATGGACGCTGACAGTAAAAAAATGTAAAACCATTTATTTTCACCAGAATAATTTAAATATATTGATATTTCGAACAATTTCACTCGGATTTAAATTCACGAGCTTGGTGGGTACTCAAGGAGTTGTATTGTTATTTCGTATGTGTACGTGGTTTTAATTTGGCGGATTTTACTTATCAGTGAAAATAGCGAAATTAAAACCCAGTGAATAATTAATGCATCCACAGTCATAAAAATGATTTTATACCAAATGTGACATGTTTATACAATTGCAGCGTTTTGTGTGGGCTACAGTTAATATTAAAGGGGCACCTGCCAGTTAAGCCTAATCTCACAACAAATTTACTTTCTGGATAATAACAATGGATAACAATGGTTAGATTAACATTGTAAACAACATAAACAATAGTGTCCCATGATTCTTTGGTGCAATCCATGAGATTGAGCGGTTCCCTTTCAGTTTAACAAACAGTTTGTTTGTTACATTTTTGAATAAAAGAGGCTTTTTATAGACAAAAAAAATATTTACTGCATTTTATTCTTACAATTCCAGTTCTATCAAGTTGTCTGGCTATTGGTTTTGTTTGATGTTTATCATTTTTTTTTATTAAGGCCTTTAAATACAATAATTACAAATTAAACAGAAATGAAATCAACTAAACGACTAATTTACACAACACTACACTGCACTTAACACAAATTAAATTACTGAGGCTAGGAAAAAAAATCTCTATTTCTCGTTCCATGGAAATTTTAAAACCAGGCGGCGAGGCGATTTTTTTTGAATACTGAGCTAAAATTGGGAAAATTTGAGACAAGTGCGAGTACAAGCGCATTTTGGAATGCTTTAGAAGGGAAAGTACGTTTGAGGCGCATGGTTCAAAAGGATGCGCGCGGAAACGAAAAAAAACATTTTTTTTTTCTCAGCCTAAACTAACTTTTATTTATGTAATATAATTTATATTCCAGATCGTTAAAGATATGGCGTCTACTGCATCAGCATTAGCTAACCAGCTACGAGATGAGTTTCTCACCTGTTCACTCTGTTTCTCTAGTTACAAAAATCCCAAGTTGTTGTCATGCCAACACAGCTTTTGCCGAGAATGCCTCGACCGCTGGATTGTGTCAAGTAAGGTGAAATTATTGGCATGTCCTGTTTGTAGAAAGGAAAGCGTCATTCCTGTCAATGGTGCCATTGGTTTTTCTGCCAGTATCTTAATTACCAATCTGTTGGAGTATTTGCGTACAAACGTGAAGGACGAACGGGAGAGAAAAACGGGGTTTCTGTTCCAATTTGGTGAGAAGGGGAGCTCAGATGGACAGTTATATAAACCGCAGTCAGTTGCCATGGTTGGAAAGGATCGTGTTATTGTGGCAGATAGTAAAAACAGACTACAGATATTCTCACGTTATGGCAAATATAAAGATACGATCACACTGTCAAGTTTAGATAAAAAGTGTGTACCAAGATGCCTTGCAGTGGCGACATCTACGGGAGAGGGCGTGGTCTACGTGTCAGATATGAACAACAAGAGAGTTTGGGGGTGCAATCTGAAAGGGGAGATAGTCAAAGAGATTGGGAAAGATAATCTGAGCATGCCCAGTGGGTAGCTTTTCCAGTGAAGGAAACATACATGTGGTTGACGTTTGGTCGCATTCTGTGCGCTCATTCGTGGAAGGAGAACACGTGCCAAGAAGAGTTGGTGGTTTGGGAGACGGCGAGAGCGGGCTATGTCAACCAACACACATTGCGGTGAATAAATGTGGTGAACTAGTTGTTGCTGATACGCACAATTATCGAATCCAAATTTTCGATTCGTATGGACGATGTGTGAGGAGATTTGGGAGAAAGGGTGTTGGTGACGGAGAATTTCTCTGTCCGAGTGGGATTGCAATAGACAGATTCGGCAATATCATTGTGGCTGACAGCTCAGCGCGTCGTATACAAATGTTCACTTATTGGGGGCGTTTTATACGTCGTATTGACAAAGATGGTGATGGGTTGAAATACCCAGAAGGTGTGTCTATCGCCGGTGATGGCGCTGTTTACGTCGCTGATGCTGGTAGCCACAGCGTAAAAGTATTCCAGTATTGAGAGTTATGTCTGTCATTAGTTTGAGGGATTTGTAGCATATCATTGTGTAGATTAGCATAAACATATCACAGGTGTGATCGAAGCGTGAATAAAAACAATAAAACATGTTAAGCTACTGGTTGAATACTTTATTTCAGGGTTTTGGGGCGGGATAATTACACTGTATTTCGCACATATTAATCCATCGAGAAAGTATAAGCTCGTTAATCGTCATCATTATTGCAAAAGTTCATTACCAATTTGTGAATCTTGTTCATATGTTTGAAAGTGACATTATATCGGTGAACGATTTCATTACAAGCAGTCACGGTCAAGGTAAAATTTGAACATTCATATGAATTGATGTATACAAGGTATCAGAGTGTAATACGAAAACGAACAATATATATTCAGTAATGTTACTGTACCAGTAAACTTGCATTTATAGAAAATCTAAAATCTTGCTGAATATTCAACTCATAGATAATCAACATGGCATGTGGATTATTGTAATTCTAAAATACACAACGAAATGAAGTTCGTACAAAAATACATTACAACTAATATGTTTACTGCTGTTTTATCACACATACGTATTGTATAGAAAGCATTCACGATTCAAGACGTCACGATTCATGACGTCACGATTCATGTCACCATTAATCATTTGAATGCTATATTTTTTCTCTCCAAAATTATGATCCAACGGTTTGAAAATCAATCTGTATTGTTTAATAATTTCTATGACAATTTTGAACTAAATTCATGCACGTCTTGATCATTTATATAAAAATTAGTTGTACAAGGTGATACAAATATGGCATTCAAATGACATTCACATTGTTTATGTAATATGTAACACAGTTTTGGCACAATCATGAACATCGAGGTGATTCTAACTATAACTATTATTAAAAACAACCATTAACAAAGTAGCCGCTGTCAAGAATGAGGGCGCTTCTATATCTTCACATTTGGTCTATTTGATCTCTAAAATTTGTATTATATTTCAGATCGTCACCAAACTTCTTCACGCTAAACAGTTATTGCATATTACATAGTGTATTGCTAATCAACTCACAGAATCATGATGTAAATAAGGTGTTCAATAAACAATATACAAATCCCAACTGAGTTGGACCCAAGTTCTCATGAACTGGACAAAATCTAAAATCGTTGGGATGCTAATATTGGTCAATGTGATAATTACTGTAGATCATGCAAAGTGGGAATACAACTTTAACCTAAATCATTGTTTCCCAACGCTATAGTATCTACAACTTCACAATGTTGTAATTTAAATTAGTCAAACTGTAATTAGTGTTACTGGTCTGTTCCTACAGTAAGAACTCCACGTATGTCCCATATTTCATATTATTTGGGTTTCTAATAGAAATAAGTAATATGAAAATATCCCCATTCTTGAAACGATAGGTGAGTATTATTTTGAAACCACTCGATACAATGAATAGATGGAATTATAAAGAAAGTTACTGTCAAGAAACATGTTCTATTCATTTACATTGTATGGATTTTGCTAGTCTTTTTGACTGTTTTCGCTATTTTCACTGATTTGCATACACCATAGTAAGAAATGCTACTGATTTCAAGTTATTTTTGTGGAAATATCACAAAAAGTAAACTTCAAAAAAGCATCACAATATACAGAAAAGTGTCATTAATATTCAAGTATGCATTTCCAACAAAACATTTACAACCAAGTGAGATAAATAGTGTTTGAAAATTGTATACGTTACCAATTCTGACTCAATCGATAATCGGTATTTTTAACGTTATTGATACAATTATATATCTCTGTCTTCCTCATGCAAACTACATTAATCCCACCACATGTCACGTGATCGAATGAAAACATATCTAAGTCGTTTAATATCTATACTTTCCAGTGAAGTTTGACCGAAAATGAGGCTTAGTGAGACGAATAAAACGAAACAGTCACGTGATGTGGTAAATACTACGAACATTTAACAATACAATCACTGAACATACATTATACATGTGACTCATGACAATGCAATTCCTATATGGAGAAACATCACTACTATTATAAAAACATTATATCTAGAACACTAGGTCGCTCTGATTATCATTTAAATATTTTCTCTATAAAATCGAATATATTATTATAATATCATATTTTATTACACTTTTCTTTCTGTTTTTGATCGCTTCTCGGCAACTGCAAGTTCGGCCGTGTATTCTATGTTATTTGGGTTGTTTACTTTCAAGGTACTTCGAACAGTTGCAAATGACATCAGTTTACACGCAGCCCTCCCTAGTACGCCGTATTCCCAAATATCCAGCAATTCCATAGCACACAAATATAACATTAATTAAACGAATTGATGTTGCTGATTATTTATGAGTTGTGCACATGTAAGGCAATCACACGGCATTTTTAGAGTGCCAACTTACTGTAACTTCAAGTTTGCAATGGAAACGACGACATGTACATGTGCTGTGGCAACGTCTACACCTATTAGCCTACATGACCAAATTGGTGCAACCATATACATATTGCAACTACGCGTGGAGACGTTGCATAATCTTGTTACACAATAATTAAAATATTGTCATTTTCACATATTTGACATACCATATTACAATGATGTCGAAAATTACTGTGCCAACGTACTCAACGAAAGTCGACCAATAAAATACAGTGAAAATAGCATATGTGTTCTGTTTTATAGCATTTTATCATTGTTTTCAATGGCAAAGATATCTCAGCATTTTGCTCGGTGATATACGGAGAAAAACAATAGTATATCAAAGAAAATAACCAGTTTGTATTCTGTATGGTTTTATTATCTTGTCACCAAAGATCAAATTGATGACTAAAGAAATAATTAATAAATTATCACTAGTTACCTGTCGTTAAGATATTAGTATTGCCTAGCTATTGAAATTTAGGTCCATGTTTGATACCATTTTTGAGTTATTAAAATAAGTTTGTCAAATCTATATAAAACAAAAAAATAACCACGAACATGGGTCTCGCTCTTAAAAATAAATATTTCACAAATGGCTAAATTTTCATAATTTTCACTTATTCCTCTTCGCGTGCAAAATTGCGTGATTACGATAATATTACGACATGCTAATCAATTGGTCGTTCAACTCTTAGTATTTGTCTGATTCCCATGATTGTTTTAATAATGTAGCGAATATATGCATAAAATATGAACACACATTGACTAGCAATAATTAGGCCGTCTGCACACGGAGCGAATGCGAGTCACCCGAGGGAGTACACCACCTGAGGTCATTGACAGAGAGCAACACACAGTATTTGTTGTTTTGGTGATTCATATTTCTTAAGCTCTTACACTCTGTTCCTATGAATCGCGCCCTCGTGCCGTTAACTTCAGTCTAGATTATGTCTAATTTGTTAAATGGTGAAATTCATGCTGATAACTGGAACATCTCTAACATTAGTTGACCAACACCAAACTTTGGATATTCGTATAGTACAGACAGTACAGGAACAGTGATGCGACACGCATCAACGAACAAACACGCTCAGAAAACTAGCACGACGCGATATCACGAAACATCCGGGCAATTAACCATTTATAATTATAATATACTACGTATGGTTTTAGCGGATTATCTATTTAACAATCATTTCATCTATTGACTATATTCTTAAAATGCTGGCCACTCATATCACCATATATAGTCATATGAATATAGACGATGTTGACACAGTACTTGCGCTATCGTTACAGTAATTTACAGTAATTCGCAGCAACGTAATATTGTTGAAGTAATTCCCAGGTAATTTATTTCGTTACGCAATATTGTTACAGGCACACGCGTGTAATGTATTCTTGTTATACAATATCCTTATAGTAATACGCAAGTTAACTTATCGTTACAGCAACATGCAAGACAACGTTCTGGTTACGCGATTTCTTTACGTTAATACGCTATTCTCTAATGTGTCGCGTCTCTGGCTAGTAGCTCCTCAATGGTCAGGTCAGTTACATTTAAATAATAACCCCAGTAAGCTGAGTTCAAGACCAAAAACACAAACGGGAAAATTAAGCGGGAGTAGATATCAATCTTGCTGGCATTGAGTCCTGCTTCCTTCATTTCTTTCAACCTGGTGCGTAATTTACCGTGTTTGCCATGGTTGCCATGGTTTTGGGCGATGGTAACTGTTGTCTCTTGTTGCCTACAGCCTCGGTCTGGATGAAGAGTGACGTTGGTGTTCATCGAATCGTCAGCCTGCCTCGTATTTTGGCGTCGTATGCTGGCATTCGATGCGCAGTACCTTGTCTCACAATCCCCACAGTCTTCAGACCCATAGATTCTCCCGAATTCGTTGACCTGCTCGAATGCAACATTCTGTGGAAAGAAATATACTCATATATGAAAATATATTCAATTGCCAAACATATTGTATTTGTAATCGATCTACAGTCTTAAAATAAAACATTTTTCGGAACAACATTGATGACGAGGTTACATGTTTTGGATCATATAGAAAGAGGGTCACAAGATTTGCCAAAGCTGGCAAGTAATAGTAAATATGCATAATTGTTCTGCACGTGCATGTATCTCACACGTGTAAACATGGTTACTGGCAATAATTTGGCATGTACTACTTGGTAAAACAATCGTTGTGGTACATAATTAACACACATTGGAATGAATGAGGTTATGCAAAACACACCAATAGATGGAACATTTTTCTTCGAACACAAATTAATTGTCCAGCTATGCATGCTATGATCATAAATATAGTTATGCTATATCATATCGCATACCACCATGTGCATACACATTTGACAATGTTGGCTCTGAAAAATCAGTACGAAAAAAAAAATGACAAAACAACGAAACTCACAAAAAATTTAGATTATTGTGCAATCGGAAGCATATGCAGTAAACCGTATTACCCCCATTTGTTTGTATATACAAATTATTATATTTAACTTATTATTACCATATACAAATTACGAATATTGACGTAATTGTGTAATTGGTGGGACAAAGTTTATTCATTTCCAACATGAATTATCTAAAACACCACGAAAGGTGAAATATATAATGTACCATATTAAATATACATTAATGTATACTATATCACATTGTAATGTATAATCATACAATATGCAGACAATGGGTGAAAGCGATAGCTTCGTAAACTAGGTCATGGTTTAGTGAGAGAGAGAGAATGATCGCAGCTGTATGAAACGAACAGTACTATTAACATAAGGGATATTCGTAGCAGCGAGAGTTCGATAAAAGGCGTGTGCTAAAGGACGTTTCGTTATTAGCTAAATTATTAAGAACTTGTCTCGGATATAGCTATACACTAGACACGTAAGTTTTATGTATTGCGGCAATGAACAGCTGAAATTCGTACACAGAAAAGGGATAAATAGGCTCTAACTCGACACTAGTAATCTCTGAGTGTGATGTGCATTGGATATTTTCAACACAATTCCTAAATCACCGGTCTGGAATTGCTTATTATTTAAAGAGGGGGAGTCGTCACCTGCGCATGGCCATAGCGTGTCATTGTTTACAAACAAGCGTCTACCCATGAGCCTTGTCGTTTTTAGCGTGTGTTGTTATAGTCGTTTGGGACTCAATTCCAGCGCGTGCGCAGGTGATGACTCTCCCGCTTTAAGGTGTTAATCAACTGGAGCAAAGAATTTTAACCATGTTATAATGTAAACTTATTTTGAAAGCTTTTTCAGCGTAATTGATAACGTATTAAAATTATTACTAACAGGGCAACAGTAAAATTGCAGTCACCATGTAGAAAAACAAAACAACTTACTACTTCTGGTGGATCTGGAACCTGGTACAGCTCATTCCGCCCCTCGCTATTGTGTCTCGCTACAGCGGCAGAGTTCATTTCTATATCGTTCATCTTTTTCTGCATTTGTCTCCGTCGCTTGTTTTCTTTGTAGCGAGGTTTATTATAGTAGCTGACTGTGGCGTATTCCACCAACGATGCAAAAACAAACAGAAAGCACATCAGGAGAAACACGTCGATTGCCTTCACGTATGAAATCTTTGGTAACGATGCATTAGAGGACGCCATGATTGTTGCCATAGTGAGAACTGTAGTGATTCCTAAGGCAACGCGAGCTGGCGTTGCGCCTCGGTTGATGTAGAATGACACCCACGACAGGATGACGATGAGTATGGATGGGAAGTAAGTCTGAATAAGGTAATATGATAGCATACGTCCAAGGTAGTAATCACTGATCAACTGGGTGAAGTTACCAACTGAAATGCAAAATCATATTTCTGATTTTATATGGCGCCTGATGAAAACTATTGTAAGCGTGATGGGTTTTGTAAGGAGGCCAAATATCCGGTCTATATTTTATTTTATTTTTTAATTTATTACACTGTAGTCTAGTAGAACGGGGTGGCATGTGCAAAGAAAGTTCTAGTAGATGAACAGTTATATATTGAATGAAATTTATATGTTTACTTGATTCTAATGGTGGCAATAAATTATCCACGACATAATTTAGACTTTTATTTGGCAAATTTTACATGGATGAATAGCAATTGTTGAAGAAAGTCTCAAAATCCCTTCTTGTCAAAATGATCGTCTCTCACCCGTGTATATTGTGAAGCTCTATATTAGATACTTTGATGAACACATATTCCATTTATTGAATGCTCATTAGACCTTGAACTCATTTCAAGCAATTATGCCAGAATACTTGACATAAATCGCCCTGAACACTTTTTATTGATTATGTTCTAACCGGCGTCTTTTGAAAATATTTTCACGAAAATAAAAACGAGACAGGAAATTGTTTGTATTGGACGTCGTTTTGAATATTCTGAGATTTCGCATAAATTAGACGTTTATTTCTACTGTTTTATTCAAGATATCGCAAAATACTTGCACGGTTTTAGTTTCAAGGACAACTACAAAGTGATGGGTAATCCGTTAGTACCTTCCATTATAATCATAACATCTCAAAACAATTGACAGGGGTTGTTGCAGTTATTTTAAATTGAATCCTTGTTTGAGTGCCCAAGATTAAAACATATTACCTAATTCGCACAATTCTTGTTTGTGCCAGAATGCAATGTACTATATTCAAATTGTACTAACACCTATTGAATTTAATTTTTAAATGTCATGTCAAAACTTAGGTTTCGTAAACTGGTAACCTGTATTGAATTATTTTTATGTAGATATGTACTTCCGAAAGCCTGACATTGATTGATGAATGACCGGAGCCCACTTTTCAACGGAGCGTATTCCGTCATCAGTCGTGCAGTTCATCAGACGAACATCAATGGAGCATCGTATATTATCCATTGGACATGTGGTGACGCCACTCTCAAATCATCACCCGTTAGATCACGAAGTTAATGAAGCATAAACATAATAAATATAGAACGGCGCTTCACAGAAAGTCGACATTCAAAATGTTATTTCGCTATTTCCATTAAATGTACATATTCCCGTTCCAGTCAGTGTAACCTGTGTACACGGCTAATTAGTATTCATACGTCGTCATACTCACCTACGTACGTCGCATGAACTGTTCGGTTGTTGTGTCCAAGTATTGAAAACTGTGGAAGTGTTATGTCATCCATAATAACGATGGGTTCCTTATCAACCCAGCGATAGTCAATATCACGTGTATTGTACGCATCTATAAATAAGTGATTACGTCATTAATAGGATATATCTTTATGCACGCACGGTTACATTGTGGCGATAGCCATCGTCTGGGGCGGGCTGGCTTCATAAGAATATTGACGTGATCGTGTTTATTTAGATTAATTTGTCTCGTGTCTAAACTAAATAAGTATGGATATTATTGTCAGGGTTGTAGTGGAGAAATGTGTAAACACCATCTGTAATTGCCCTCAGCGACCAGGCATTTATGTGACGTCACATGGATGAATAGAAATAATGTTGTTCATATAGGCAACTCTATTTTACTGTGCAGTTGATTTTTTTAAATGTAAAACAAATTAAAACAAAATATTGACGGACTGTTATTGATAATGTGAACACCTGTTTACATCACATCGGCACTTCGAATTCGTCGCCATTTTAGGAAAGATGTATTACATGTTCTCACCGAAAATTACATCTGGTTACTATCACGCGTGATATTGTTGATTTCGTACGCGAATATATTCCCTGTTACTCTGAGTATACAATTGTATGCAACGATTTTACTAAACCAGTTCAGCTATGTACCGACCATCATATTGTATGCATCCAGGTTGCTTGTGGGATTTTATGAGATGTCTGTAAAATGTAATATTTTATTCATACACGCAAGCTTGTGTTATCTTTATTCTCTTTGGAACAACAGCCAAAGAAATGTATACAATTAGCGATAAACAATATCAAACGAACAAGCCGTGCTAATAAATACCAAGTTCCATTCTGTGCCTTCAATTTGTAAGTCATATAAAGTATACAAATGAATGTTATTTTGGAAATAATTATTTTTTCAAAACAATTATTTATAAGTCATGCATTACATTTTTGTATTTCATACATATTTGTAAAATGTTCCGTAAAACCGATGTATCTGGATATTATAATATGCTATGATGGTAAGTGATTTTTTTACAAATAAAACAAGCAAATTTTAATATTTATTATTTTGAAATAAATCACCATATTTGTAAACATAAATACAAAATTAATAATTAAATTAGTTGTCATACTTATGTATCTACATTGCTCTATTTGCTATAATTAGACTATTTAGTAATACAGTAAATTGTGCAATGTACAATGAAATATACATATGGTTTATATATATATATATATTGTAGGGTTCCAAAGTTGTTCAAAAATTGAAAAAAAAGTATTCATTATATCGAAATATATCGTGTTTATGTCACTTCGTCATAATTTGTACGTTGAAATACATGATATATAAATAATTGATCTTTAATATATATTCCTAAACGTTTACTAAGCTTGTCACAATAGCATCATTCAATAATCTGCGCCAGAATACAAATTATGTGAGTAACTGACGTTGTGTGAAGTCATAAGTAATAATAATTTTAATAATACCCATTACTTACAACTTTCTAAGACGAGTGAGCATCTCTGTTTATCAAACGGAAAGTACATGAGGTCCATTGAACACGAAGCAACGATTGTCAATCTGTAAAAGGACAACCATATTTATTTGTTCATACTCATTCATTCAATATATAACACTTATGGTAAGTCAG